TCATTCTCAAGACAACACAATCATGATCATTTCAGATGTTCAGGCTTGTAACTCGATGAAAGAATATTCTTTCATTTCAAATTTAGTCTGATTCATCTTAAACTTTGCATGAATACTTCTCTTGTTGAACTGACATGACAAACTGAAATTTAATGGTACCATAACAGTTGTGTAAGAGAAATCTCGAGAAATTCGAAATACTGAGAGGATTACATCAACAAATGGTATGGACCATGGAAATGATACCAATCATATTTTATCTGTCAAAAAAAGGTCAATCATTTTGTTCCTTATCTTAACCGGTAATCGGTTAAAAAAATCACTTTTTCGTAAAATTTTAAGAATGATGAAAAAAGAAAAAATTATAAGACAAATGATAAAATAAAAAAATTTCAATTTTATTGAGGAAAATAAACCAAATAACAATCTAGTAATAATAATTAATAAAATTTAACTAATAATAATGATGATAATGATAATAATAATCAAGATAATAATAAGAATAAGAAACGAATGCAACGATTGCCTTTGTATTGCAATTCCTATCAGAACGCTATAAATAACAACACCCACATGCTTTTTTAAAAAACTTTTTGAACTTTAACTATAATGTATCCACCTCAAAGTTTCATTATTTTGTTTTCTGCATCAAGGAAGTAGAAATATCGTCTTTCTTCCATCCTTTTCTCTTTTTCTCATACCGGAAAAGAAGGAGAAGGAGAAAGCGAAAGATATGATACTCACATTCGGCACTCCTTCACAGACTCACACTTTAATACAGACGTTATTTCACGTCTATAAATACACAGCAAATCTTCAACTAATTTTTTATGGAGAAAATCACTCAGGAAATATGTCTGTAGCAAATCCAACGAATAACTCACAAATGCGTCAACGGAGTTTAAAATGAAGAAAGGGAATTTATGTTGGCTCGATTTATTACAACTATTGAAAAACTTTTCCAGTTTATCGATTGATTGATTTATTTTTTTCTCTTCTCAAAATGACTTTTGTTTATATAACACATGGCAATATTTAATGGATGTGCAATTCAAAGGATAACATTTATGAAAACTACTTAATTATTAAATAACTTCTATTTTTACGCATGCATGGAATAAATTATCAGTAACTGAACGAAGCGAAACGAATAATTTTTGATTATACAATGATATGAACTGTTTAATGTGTCAGAATTTGTGGGAATATCACTAACGACTACCTTCCTTACACATAGCTTAGCTTATTTATGATAATCTCTAAATTCTGATAGACTTTGAAGTTATCCTTTCTCTTCTGATTTTATCCTTTTTCTGCTTTTTACACAGATGTCGAATTCTATTTTTTAGTGCAGATGATCATAAAGTTATGTAATCAGAGGTCAACTAGTTCCAAGAAAAAACGAAATGAACTCTAAGTAAATGAATGAAATTTTGTGCTAGACTAAAAATTTTATCAATAATAATTGCACTTTTTTCTTAATATAGCCTAAACTTATCAAAGATACGTTGAAATTCTATTTTTAAATAGAAATAAGCATATTAATCGGTAAAGTGTAACTCAAAACTGCAACAGTTGATAATAATTATACTTTCACTAATATGAACTAAGCTTATTTAAGATAAATTTGAATTTTATTTTCGAACAGAATATGAGCAATATTAACTGGTAAAGTACAACTCAAAATTACATCAACTAATAATAATTATACTTTTTCTGATACAACTTAAATTTATTTAGTTTATTAAAAGTAATTCTAAACTTTACATTAATTCTCGTCCATAATGCTTTTCTCGGTTTCTTGATCCTCCTGTTATCACATAGGGAATTGAAAAAATGAATGAAAATAAATAAATGAGAAAATATCAATTTTCGATATAATTTTGAGACAGCATAATATGTTGCAGCTCGTCGGATTGAAGTTTTTGTAAGTTGTTTATAAAATAAATTTTTATTAAAATAACTTTATCATTGTTTTTAAATAGGACCAATAAAACTAGAGAAATGAAATTAGTCAGGATTTTACGCCACTCACGCTATACGACCTAAACTTATCACTATCGTTTTATTTATCCAAATATGATTTCATGATTCTGTATGCATTTTTAACAGAAATTTGATGTGAAATAATGTTTGACGTAACATTTCATGCAGCTATTTTGGCGAAAATATGGCGCTGCGGTAAAATTGAATGAGGCAATTCCGACCATGTCCCATTCAAAATTTATTACTTATGATAAATTTCAAATTATCAACTAGTTTAAAACAGATTGCTATTTGTCACTTCGTTTTTGTCATTAAAATACAATCGGAAAATTTCTAAGAAATTATTCATTATCCAAACAAATATTAATTTTTCTTGATTTCGTTCGCTTCTAAGTTAAATCATGATCTTTTGTAGAAATTAAATCGAAATTTCAGTGGGAGAATGATCAAATGAGAACAGTGAAAGAAATATGAAAAATGATGAGGCTTTATGAATTATGTCACAGAAACAATTTAGTAAAAAAACAAAAAAATTTGTATATGCTGCAACATCGTAATTAATAATAACCAATCAATTTTTTAGTGACAAAAAAAATGAGATGATAATCATCGGCACTGATAAAAATGGCAATGATATTAATAACGAAACAAAAAAAAAACTTTTTTCCAAATGAATTTAATCAATTCCTTTTTTATTACTCTTCTAATAGCAAATTACCATTCATCAAAGTTTTTTTAGTAAAACTATAAAAGAATGACAGAAATGAATTCTTTTATAGCTAAATTACGTGAGTGTGAGAAAAAAATTGGATTGACATGGAGCAGTGAACATGGGCAAAAATGTGGTTTATTGTGAAATCAGTGGGAGGACGGGTGCGGGAGCGGGGGAGAGAGGGAAGGGAGGGGAGCAATTTCCATGTGACTTTAATTGTGGTAAAGGAAATAGCATCGGTATGAACGGAAGAGCAAAGCACTCTCCTTACCATTTCGAATACCTGTCCGTAAAAGAATTCGAAAATTTATCGCTCTTTACATCTCACTCCCCGCCACCTCTTAGAGAGAGAGAGAGAGGGAGGAAGAGAGAGACAGTTATCAATTGGCAACCAATGCGTTCCTTTTTCTCATTCACTGCTTAGCTTAATTTGTTGTAATCCACTTTATCATTTTTATCAATCAATCCCAAAGTTTTCTATGTTCCAACTTGTGATGACAGAATTACGATATTTATTGGTAGCTTAATTAGCATCTGATATAAAGTGTAATGGGATCTTTTCAAATCATCCAAATTTACTTATTTTCATTTTCTCGGAATGATTAATTTAGTCAACAGGAGATTAATGATCCGATTGGAATTAGGATATTTCCGATACAAAACAAATCAAAATTGAGCACATTACTTTAATATAATGTATTTGATAAGACAATAAAGAAGGTATTGTTGTCTTTTATTATTATCCTTATCAATTGAGATTATGAATGACTGTAAGTACCTTTCAAGTTTACAAACATTTCGACAATTCTATTTAAAAAATTTAATTTTTTCAAATATGGAATATTATTACTCGTTCCGCTTTTTGTTTCCTTTTTCTCCGTTGTAATAATTTATCCAAACTCAATTACTATATTACAATATATTAATAAATAATGAAAAATCATACGACTTTACCTGTTAAAAAGTTGACTATTATTTACTTTTTAATTTTAGTGAAAGGTAATAATAATTGAAAAAAAATACCTCAATTTTTGCATTTTGTCTTGTGAGTCGTTTCTTTAACAAATGATAGGAAATATTGCTTTCATATGATATTTTTTCTTTTTCAATTTTTTTGTTTCAACTATTAATCCAACAATAATTTTGTTGGAATGCATTAGCGTAGTTTTCCGTTTAGCACACTTCTCAGTAACTAATATCTCAAAATTCTATTTCTTTTTCTTCTTCCTCAAATTTTTCTCATCATAAAAGAGAAAAAACTCATTTCATTTTTAGTCTAAAATAAAGGTTAAATAGAATTCTGTTAATTTCCACTCCCGAATGCCTTTCAAAGCTTCATCAACTGTAAAATAATTACCATTGTACGTTCATTTTCTCTATTTATTTCCTATTCTACTAAATCCATTCTTTCCATTGCTTCTTTTAACTTTCTTCTCCTCCTTCTTCTTTCAGATGAAAATAATTTGATAACAAAATGTCTCTCCTCTTAAAATGTTAGCAATAGGAAATATTTTGTTCTGCAGTGGTATAATTTCATATGTTATATTTGATGATTTCATCTTATTTCATTTTTATCATTATCAAATGGTGGTAGAAAGAGGAAGGAAAAGAGAAACAAAAGGAAAGAGAAAAAGAGAGGACAGATTTCGTAGAATCTTAAATCCAACTTTAAAAGAAGGGTTTGTTAACATTATTCGAGTTTATTTACCTCTATTATATTAATGATTTAATCCCGAAATAAGTAATTTGACTTCTTTTTTCACATGAATAGGTAAAATTCGTAACCATTCTCAGTTTTTGTCCTCTGCCACCACTTTCTTGAATATATCCATATCAATTTAAACGATGTAAAGGTTAAAATTACTCCTCTCAAATTTCACTAATAATAAAAAAAGTAAATGGTGAATAGGGATATTTGTTATAAACTAGAGACATCCACAGAAAATTTACATAATTCGTCATATTAAGTATGAATCTCGCATGCTGAATTTTAAATCTCTTTCACAGATTCCTTTAAACAACCATTCTTAATTTTTCATTTTTTTTTAAATGGATGTTTGTCGACTAATGTACAGTTGAGTTTGTGATTATCTAAAAATATGCTCCTTTTCAGCTTGTAAATTTAAATGCACACCTAAACGATTACAAGTAATGCTCGAAATGAAATTAAACATGGTAGAAAAAGAAGTTACCTCAGAAATGAGGGATCAGGATTAAATTTTAAAATTTCCAGAATATTTCTAAGTAAGCACTTTGCAGTGAGGCAAAGATTAAATTGGAAGGATGACAAAGTATGTGGTTGTTATGATGTAACAGTAGTGAAATGAAGCAGAAAATCTAAAACAACGTGATGATTGCACTGATTTCTGGTTGAATCATGAAATTTCAGAGGAATCAATTTTCACTTCAAAAATTACCTGCGTCTTTAAGTTTGATCGTCAGATGTTACCTGTTGCTTTATTTTTGAAGAAAATCAAAATTTATCGAATCATTTACACTTAGGATGTTCCGGATAATATTAAGAAAACGAATCCGGAAAGCAAGCTCGTTTTAATGCTTTTTCGTTGGAAGCCTAAAAATTGAATGGAAGGTGAAAAGGTAACTTACATGTGATTGGTTTCAGAGTTTGTGAAATTGACTGCTTTTGTGGTTCCGGATGACAGAGCATCTCGTCGGAACCGTCAGAACAATCCGCTTTTCCGTCACAACGAGCAGCCATTTCGATGCACTCACCACTAACACATTGGTATTGTTGAAGAGCGCAAATTTCACCCGCTCCAACCACTTCGTATCGTTCACGAGCATTCGCATCCGTGTAACCCCCATCATCTATCTGAAATTCAGAAATACGATAATTTATTTTGAAAGTGTGAAATTAGTCGGATAACTTTCCTGTGCAATATCAAAGCCCACCAACTTAGAAATGATTATAAAAAATTAATTACAGTTTCAATTACGAAACAATTAGCGACAGCAAAGAGGCCTTTGAGGGATAACACTAAGGATATTTAATTCGGGCAGATTGAGATGATTGACTGAAGCTAAATGAATCCGAAAAGTGGTAAGTTTCATAGGCTCAAGGTCAAATGGTGAACGGACTCACCTAATTAATGAATTCAACAAACGACAATTTCAGATAGGTGAAATGGTCACTGACTTACCTCATTTTCCGTACTCGGATTGTAATTCTCTAACTCTAATCTGCGCCGTTCCTTGCTTTCCCTAATCCGGACTCCTTCTATAGTCATCTGATGTTTCTCATGTTTCTCTCCATCTTCATCTTTTTCTTTCTTTTCCAATTCCCTCTTCGGTTCCTCCACATGCTTACGATCCTCCTCCTCATATCTGCGATCTCCTTCCAAACGTTTGCGATCTTCCTCCTCCACATGCCTGCGATCCTCCTCCCCATACCTGCGATCTTCTTCCAAACGTCTGCTATCTTCTTCCAAACGTCTGCGCTCTTCCTCCTCCACATGCCTGCGATCCTCCTCCTCATACCTGCGATCTTCTTCCTCTACATGCCCGCGATCCTCCTCTTCATATCTGCGATCTCCTTCCAAACGTCTGCGCTCTTCCTCCTCCACATGCCTGCGATCCTCCTCCACATGCCTGCGATCCTCCTCCTCATACCTGCGATCTTCTTCCAAACGTCTGCGCTCTTCCTCCTCCACATGCCTGCGATCCTCTTCCACATGCCTGCGATCCTCTTCCACATGCCTGCGATCCTCCTCCTCATGCCTGCGATCCTCCTCCTCATACCTGCGATCTTCTTCCAAACGTCTGCGATCTTCTTCCAAACGTTCACGATCTTCCTCCACATATCTTTCGTCCTCTTCCAACCGTCGCCAGCTTTCCTCCTTTCGTTCTTCCTCTCGTCCTTGTTCATCTTCCCTGTATCTTAGCTGTTGTTCCTCCTCAAAACTCTCCCGTTCCTTACTAAGAACACGCTCCTCATCTTCCTCATCCCTTCGTCTCTCTATTTCCATCTTTTGTCTCTTTCTCTCCTGTTCTTGTCGTTCCCACTCCTCTTTCTGTCCATCTTCCTTCCCTTTTTGCTGTTCAATCTCCAGTCTTTGCCTTTCCTTTTCATAATATTCTTGCCTTATTCTTTCCTTTCCCTCTCCTTGTTTCTCCTCCTCTTGCCTTCTTTCCTGTTCCCTTTCTTGTTCCTCTCCCAATCTCTCTCCTCGCCGCTCTTCCTGTTCTTTCTCCTTTCTCAGCCTTTCCTGTTCCCCTCCCTGTATTCGCCGTTCCTCATCTTTCTTTATCTGGCTGTATTTCTGCTCTTCAGATTCAGTATAACTCGACTTCACTTCTGGAATTTCGTCCGGTTGTATTGTTGTAGTTCTCGACTGTTTCAGCGCTTGCACGAAATATTCTGAAAACTACCAACTTAAGGAATTCCTGAAATCTCATCCTTTGGTTTCCTGAAAATGATACATCTCAGGATGTCATCATATCAAGAAATGAATAAGTAAATACGCTTCTTATCATAGCTAAAGAGATTTGTTCGAATAGCCCGAAGCATTTGCTAACTACAAATCAAAAATGTTAATCCAAGTTTTGAAATCATTCCGGAATTAAAAAGAGTTGTTTTTTTGTAAATTAACATACATACCACAGGTAGTTTCATCGGTCCCATCATCACAATCATATTTACGGTCGCATCGATCAATTTTTGCAATACATTTTCCGTTTTCACACCGAAACTGATTCGGTTCACATCCTGCAATGGCTGTCGTGAATGATTCGCTGTCGATTGTTGGCGCGGTCGTTTCATCGTCGGCACAGTTTATCTCGTCGCTACCATCGCCGCAATCATCAATACCGTCGCATATTTTCATATAATGAACACAAAGTGTTCTCGTCAAATATGGACATCTTAAAAGTTCTGTTTGAAACTCAACTGAAATACTCAAATACAAATACTGACAAATACAATCTACTTTTATTTTTCGAATAACTTTTATTAAAACTATTTCTGACAAAATGTTAGTTTTAGGAATATTAAATGTATGATAAAATAATGAAAATGCTCTAAAAAATATCCGAAAAGCTATTTTACACATATGAATGAAAGAAAATACCGGAATTCCTGATCAGAGCATTCATCTATGTCTTCCTCATCCTTTTCACCAATCCCATTACTATCTTGATCAGTATATGATGTCTGATTTGTCTCATATCTCGCTTCTGTTTCACCGTAAACAGTTCCGGAATGATAGCTTCCGTCTTTTATGCCACCATGCAGGAATAACCTCTCAGTATGGCTACCAAGTGATTCGCTTCCTGCTGATGACCGCACGTCATTTGGCTCGTAATTTAATCCTTGCTCTTGGTCATTTGACGATAACTGTTCCACGTGGTGTGCTGCATGATCCGCTTGTTGTATTTCGGAAATACGTCCGTTTAGCTCTTTGTACTGATCAACACTGTGGCGTTGTTCATCTCCGCCATTATGCGGAATGTAAACATAAACATTTTGCTTATCATTCCCCTTCTCTCTATTTCTGTTGTGATCTCCGTCAGCCTTTTTTCGATTATATCCGGTTCTACCGTTAGCAGTCCAAGCATAAGCATTATTAAATTGCCCCGTCTTGCCGTAACCAGAAAAATGTCTATGATCGTTTCCGTAGCCTTTGTTACTGATTCCTGATGGATAACTGTCTCCATTGTCAGATAATGAAGGAATATGTCGGTTGCGCACACCGGATTTCTGGTCGTACAGGTCATCTTCCTGAATAGCTCTAATAACATGTCTTTGCTTACTATATCCATTAATAAAATCAGTTTTGAGTCCATCGTGCCAACTTTAATGTTCGTACAAAATTCTTCCTTTCTATTGTGCAATTCTGAATATGGTATCATACTTGCATAATAATATTTTCAATAAAGTAAGCTAAAGGATTAAGGTTAGTATTGATCCGGAACATACTGTATATCTTTGAATAAAAAATTTCATCTATTCTTTGATAACACAAATGATTGAACCTTTTAAATTTTAAGAATGGCAGGACAAATACGAAATACAACTTTCAGTCTAATTGGAATACCTGATTTCTTGTATTTTTGCCAAATTTACTGATTACGTTAGCATTGGCAGCATTTGTCGATTTGGAATGTGCTCGTTGAGCAGCAAGGAAATATTCTAAACGAACTTTATAATAATTACAAATTACATATTTATATATTTCATCTTTTTAAAGCTTAACTTCCTACTTTTAACTTGAAGTTATCATAATTTTTAATGAAATTTTCTAAATAATATATAAATTATCAGTTCCCCATGTTAAATCAACAATATATTTTTTATCAATAGAACCTATCAAAAAATTCCAAAATATATTTTAAAAAATGCAGTACGTGCGAAAATTCACAACTAAATACAAAGACTTAACTAAATAAATTATTGAAATGATGAAATATTAGGAAACATGCTAAATTAGGTATTAAGCTTATTATCAGTATCTTGTTTGCTACGTAGAATTTTTGTTTTCCTTTTTTTATTTTTAACACTTAATTCTTATATTGCATCAAGAAAAACTTAAAAATTTCAAAACTGAACTCACCGCACTTCATTTCGTCACTGCCATCAGTACAGTCATAATTTCGATTACATGCTTTTTCACGTGGAATACATTCACCAGAATCGCAACTGTAATATTTCGTACCGCAATTTTCCGCTACCGATCGTTTTTCACTACCTGAATTCAAATGAAAAACTTCAGGAAATCATGGCACGATACGTATGTATAAACGTATTTTAACAAAGGTTAGAGGTCAATGTGATTGATAAAACACTTGGTAATTTTTTTTCTAATATTCTTTTACACTTAGTATCATAAAAATTTTAATACATATGAAATTTTCAAGTGAAATATTTCTGTTTTTATATTAATTTAAAACTTTGACGCGTTACATTATTAATCGAAAATTGAATAAAAATTAATCTATGCTTTAAATTAGGTGCAAAATTAAAAACAAAAGCAATAATTCTGTCAAATTCTTTTTCTTTTTTAACTTTAACAAAATTATATCTTTGGCGTAATAACTTACATATTTAATAAAAATTTGCAACTGTATCCAATTGATGGTAGAAATTATTAATAAGCTCAATAAATTTACATTTTATTCATTAATGTTTAACGCTTTTTGCAGCATTATTTGTTATTTCCTTCTTCGCTTTACATACAATCGATTGTGTAAAAAAGAAGACATATGAACTTAAATTAACGATAATAAACTGCCTAATGCTTTACAATATGTTTTGTACATAATTTGTTTGAAGATGATATTATTCAAACAATTTTCAGTTCTAAAAATTGCTTAAACCGTTTGAA